TGATTGACTGCAGTCATTTATCTTGTTAATAGAACTATTTTATGCTAGTAAGTGACATGCAGTAAATATGTTGTGGTTATTATATTGTCATTATTATGTACTGTATTTATCCATCTGTATGACAGGATATTATTCAAGTTTTCATTCAGAAAATGTTATGTTGGAGGAAAAGTATGCAAATGAAATTTAACTGTTCAGCGGTTTTTGAGAAAAATCATCTGGTAATAGATGCATGGCCCACAATTTGTGTTTCCATTCAGGGCTGATGTAACTTCAACGATGGCTCTGGTTTTGTGGTTCTTTTGTCATAGTGCGTTCTGTTTTTTAGAGTAGCTCATGATGGACAAAGTTCAGAAATTCATATTTTTTAATCGTGGTGGTTGTCTACTGAAATGTTAGTGAATGGGGCTTCAGTTTTCCAAACTTCTCACAATAATCTTCTTATGCGTGATAACTTGTTCCTCGTTTCAGGATGATGATGAAGATGAGATCAAAATGTGGATGGAACTGACGATGGAGAGAGTGATGAGGGCAGCAGATGCTTCGCTGACTTCATTGTATATCATGACGTCACCAAACATGCCAAAAAGAATTTATCTAGAAGATGTAATCGACAGAATAGTTTTATTTACAAAATACCAATTACAGAACACAATATATCCTTCCTTTGACCCTGTGTATAGGGTGGACCCCAAGAAAGGTGAGTGAGTCCCAGGTTTGAGCCTTACCTTTGCCACTGATAACAGTAATAAAGTAACAGAAGAATCTCTTGGTATAACGGCATTCTGTCTCCTAAAGATCGGAGTAGAAAACATTCTGAAATGTTATGTTTTTTAAATATATCGCGGACAGTCCTGCCTTTGTTTAAGAGAGTGGAGTGAGTTCAAAAAACTGAATTGGTGATATATGTTTCAGATCTGGGAAGTGGACGGAAGAAGCGTGCTCATGCCAAAGAGGTGCGAGAGAAGAGCATACTCACTTTATACAATAAACTACATGAATTAGTGAGTTTATTAGCGGAACTCCTCAATATCCAGGTGCTCACAGATACGGCAGTTCTTCATGCATCTTCAATGGGAGTTGCTCCTTTTTTTGTTGAAAGTGTCAGTGAACTTCAACTATCGGCTCTGAAGTTAGTGACCACGGTGAGTTATTTTGGTTGCCAGCTGATTTGCTCGTTGTGTTTATAAGAGATTTGGGAGTTCTTGCTTAATCTAGCTCCTTACTGTGGATTTCCATTGTGTTCCTTCCTCATCACAAATTCTAGGTTGACGTCTTCAAATCGTTTGTAACTGCTTCCACTCCTGTTGTTCTTTGTGTCTCTTATTTTGGTGCTGTGTGACCTCTACGTTGTCACTTTGTTCTTAAACTTTAATATGTATCTCAGGTATGAGAAACATTGTCCTGCATGGCAGATGAAGATGAAGTGAACCACAAAACATACATTGTCTTATCCATTTTAAAATCAGGAGAGTCAAAGTGTTATTTTTGATCTGTCACACGGTGATGCACATAATGAGATATATGGAGTGAATGTTGGATGTTTTATGAATTGTGAACTCTGAAGATGGCCGTCTTCTGGGTTGT